TATCCGTAGTATTCAAAAGATTGGCCGCTTGTAAGCAATTTCATTCACATTTCACTATTATAAAACTGGAATGAAATATTTAATTAAATTAGTCATTTTGCAACTTTTGGAAGCAATTTATCTTAAGCACTTAATTAAGCTATTATAGCACATCAGTGTTATTAATCCAAATGTCCACATAATGTATTAATAATGAAAATTAATTACAAAACATTTTGGAGCATAAAGCATTCATTTTATTGCATATGAGCGCAGTCATAAATCAAAAATAAATATTTTTTTAATATCCATAATGCTAAAACCACAAAGTCCCTAAAGCACAAACTTTGAAACCGTAAAAAATTGCACAGTGACCTGTTGCAGGTCAATTTTTTAAAAAATATGTAGAAACTCTTCTGTTTCACTGAAGTGAATTTTCAATATATTAAGTAACATTAAAATATTAATGTATATGGATATACTGACGTTAATTCACATTTTTGCTATTATAGCCAATAGATTACAACTCTCTTTTGATGATTACAACAATCAGATTTAATCACAGTAAATTGTTATTATCTTCTAAGAGCAATATTATATTCTAAGACTCTAAGCATATACTTTTTGTATACTAAATATATCACATCTTTAAAATTTAATGAATTAAAACTGTTTAGGGTACGTTTGGTTTAAGAAAGATTTTGTGGGAACATCGCGTTGAGGTCCTTGCTTCAAGATGTCTTTTCTTCCATGTACAAATGATGTTTGCGACATGTGTGTTTGTAATTCAACAGCTAACTGCATTACTTTAATTCATTCTTTTTGAGAATTTTGTAAAACTCCTGATATTAATTTATTATGATACTTCTTCAGACTTCTCTAAAAATAGTTTCCTAAAAAATGTAGGAATATATTAATACATAACTGCATATTTGCAGTGTGTTTTGGCTTTTGTCTTTTCATCTTGGCAAATCCCGTAAAGAACGCTAAAGATTAGTTTCCTAGTTTTAGATGAATTTATGGTATCCAGATTTATTTAGTCTCGGCGCTTGTAGTCCCATTATGCTACCTAATCTGTGTTTTTTTTTTTGTGGAAAGATAGACTTATAGTTAGCTATAGATAGAGTTACAAGTATAATAGTTGACTTCCTCTTAAGTCTTACTCTTTTTTAAAAATGTTCCATTTTTCGTTAGAGTTCATTCCGATTATTACTTTGGTAGCATAGTTAAAATCTGCTATGTGAATTAGATAAATTGTAGTAGAATAATTAGAGTAATTGTAGTAGTCTTTTGAGAGAGTTGAATTTAAGCATCCTATATTTAGAAAACAAGCTTTCCATCCAATGACTTCAATTTTACTTTGCGACTTTGTTCCCCATTTCAAACGAATGGCTACCAGATAACTACGAACACAGAATAAGGATTTGATGATCTCGTTATATAGATAATGGATCACTTTAGGTTTAAAGCAGCGGTATACCTTTTTGCTTGTTTACAGTTATAAATTGCATTAAGCGGTTTATTACTTTTGTTATCTATTCTATTGTTTGAACTAAATTTCCAATCTACAATAGAATTAAATCAGGAGAGCACAGTGTGTCCGTAAATTTTGTTAGTAGCATTAACTGTTTATTCACAATATGTATGAAAGGTTAAAAGTGTAATTTGTGCTTCTTTTTAAACAATACTGTTTAGATTTAAGAGGCATTTGACATTAAGCCCATCTTAGGAATATCATTTAATTTTAAATAGATATGTACCTAATAGTAATATTACAAAAGTCTCAATAAGAAGTTCGATTAGTAGGATTTAGAATGGTTAAGGCCTGTTCATTCAGGCATGACGTCATATGCCATACATATATTGTTTAAAATTTATCATGAATATAACACATATTACAAATTATTTTCAAAAGTCTAATAATATATTAAAACACTTGGGAAGGTAGAGCTACCTACACACATGATTGTTACCATATATCTTAGATACTTATCGTAAAAGAATTATAAATATAATGAGAATTATATTTCATTGATATATGTGTTATGTATGATAAAAATTAAATTTTAATATTGCTTTCTGATTGTTAGCATTTTAAAGTATTAATTTGTTTATAAATTACAGATTTTAATATAACATAGGTATATATATATTCTTTAATATATATCAAAACAAATGAAGTGGAGGGCAAACCCCTGGTTTTTAGTTTATACTTTTTTTTATACTATATACTTCTTATGAAATTCTCCTCTAACGGAGAATAATTTTTAACAACAATTCTAATACAGTCAAACTTTTATAACTCGAAGTCCAATTTTGCAACTTATGGAGACTTGGAGTTAAAGATTTTTTTTTTGTTTTATTTTTGTTTTATTATTGAAAGAAACTAGAATTATATTTTAAGATATTTATTTATTTAAAATCAAATACAGCACAGAGGTTATAATAAAGTAAAATAATTAGAAATTAGTGTTTGGGATCTTAATTTTTTTTTATTTTCATTAAAAAAAGATTTCAATTTATTCTAAGCCATATAGTGATCATCAGTTAGAGGACATATCATTCGTTTGTAAATAAAAATTCGGAATTTTAAATGAGTCTTCTATTTCATTCTTGGAAGGCTAATGAACAATTTCATCCACCGAACCCTCATCATTACTTTCCGTTCCACTTAGAATTGGATCCACTAATTCAGAGCTATAATAATCAATAATATTGTCATCTGTAGGAAAGGTTGATGTACAAATTTTCTTGTCAAGCTCAATGTAATCGTTAAGAGAAGCATTGGAAATTATTTTATTTACTTTAAATCACTTGCTCAAAGAAGCAACTTAAGAAAGAAAAAAATATTTAATATTTGGTTTAAAAAACGGGACTTCCCATAACAGCAAAATGCGTTTATACTTAAATCAAAAATTCGACTTATAGAATGCACTTTCCCATATCTCTATCGGCATGGAACTAAATTTTTGTTCGAGTTATAAAGAAATTCGAGTTATAGAAGTTCGAGTTATGGAAGCAGAATTGTATGTAATTTGTTCTCTAAAAACTTGGTGCACTGTTTTTGGTTCGAGTTATAAAAAAATTCGAGTTATAGAAGTTCGAGTTATGGAAATTTGACTGTATTTAATTTTAATACTAAAAAGCAGGTAAAGTCTTTTTTACTATTGAGTTAGATTGCCATATTTGAAGAAGCATAATCTTGAAAAATTTTAGCTTTTCTGAATACCAGACCCTGTAACCACTGCCTAACACACCAACATACATTTTTGTAGCATATATATTTTTTATATTACACATGGATTTCATATAGTATGATTGTACTATACGATGAATATATTGTTTAAGGCTCTTGAAAGTGCTTAAAACAGCGTTAGAATATTTGCTAATGCTAACTTTTGCTCCTGATAAAGTTCTCTAATTCAAAACGTAAGTCTGGTGAATTATGAGAACTTCGTTAACAAAAAAGTTGAGCAAAATTGTTGGTTTCGCAACAAAGCGCAAAAGGCAATAAAGTTTGTACTTACCAAATATTAAACTATTCGAAACGGTTTTGAGAGGCTTACACACCCAGGCAATTGTGTGAGCTCTCGTTAAAAAGTTGCAATAAAATAAAACGAATTTGAATTAATAAAACTAAAGGACTCGTACGTATGGCTAATCCTATGCTAGGACGACTCACGTTCTACCACATAAACGAAATGAAACAACTTAATTGTGAAGGAACACGTCAGTAGTACCCTTCAGCCAACAAAACGTAAGAAACTGTTGATTTAGCGAATCGTGCAACAGCTTTGCGGGCTAATTTTGCATAAAAGGATGTGTATACATAAACGCACTATATATTTATACTCGTATATAGAGGCATATGGCGCGTTACATATCAATGTATGTGTTTTATGAATAAATATAAATTCTAATTATTATGGTGCTCGTAGTAAAGTTGTAGTCAAACTTCCGGCGCCATCGTCACTAAAACATGTTTTAATTTGTGCCAAAGCAGTGCTGCTTCATAGCATTACATTGCTTTTAAATAGCACAATTGTATGTCGCTTATCGAGAAAGACATGCAACGAGGTATGAGAAGCGAAATATTCCTATAGAAAACTCTTAACAAAGGTGGGCTTTATTTGTGCATGCATTTTTCTGCCGTTAAGGTGGGCGGTTGTAACTTACAAATAATTGTTGCGTTGGCTTTTGTTGTTTTTGTTATTTTTGCTACTGTTGCTACTGTTCCTACTGTTGCTGTACTCATAATATAGTAGTTGGCTTTAGGTTTATTGTCTGGACTTAAATCGGCTGGCGTCCCTCCAGCGGAGCCTGTCATGCCAACTGAAATCGATTATTATAATTTCACATGCTTGAAAAGGTAAATTTGGTGTGCGCACTGGTAAAGTGGCGCGCTATAAAATTTCCGAGTTGGTGATAAATTATCAAGATGATTGTTACCATTTCGTGCAAACGTGAAAAGGGCGTGTGGTATTAAAAGCGTTAAGTGAGGGCGTCGTAGTCGTAGTGCAACCGTAGAGGGGTATTACTAATATGAAAAAAAAATAAAAATAAAATACATACTGTTGCTTTTAAGAAGCTTGAATACATCGCATTTAGGCACCACCGAGCCGCGTTTTGGTCATTGCAAAGTGCATATTCACTTTTATTCCCCGTGGTCCTTTTAAATGCATGGAATTTTAAGTGCACTGAAAATCGGTTTGTTGCCTGTGTACTTCATTCTATCGCTGTTGACTTGTAACGTTTCAGAGCTTTTATGTTTTATTTTTTATTTATCACAGTTTTCTATATTAAATCCTTTTTTTTTTTAATTTGTCGTATGAATTACCCAAATGCTGACCTCATTTTGTATATTAAAAATGTAAGTAGTTAAGTAGAATCACAAATAAAAAAATATACAAGAATGACAAGTGCTTTACTCTATAGAAAAGTTTAGAAGTATTAAATTTAAATAAAAGAAAAACGTATTCAATTTCTAATTTATTTTGTTGTTTTTCTCTCCGTCCTTGCAGTGAAGAGAATGTTTGGAAACTTTGCGAACAAGTTAAGAAAACACGTATCGATGAACTTTCCAAGTGCTATGCAGTTTTTGTATCTAACGAGGGACGCACAGTGCCGCTGTGGCGACAAAAGGCCGGACGTGGTGATGATCAGGTTGTGATATGGGTAAGTAAATTTCCTTTCTAAATTAGTTTGTGGGTCATAGAAAATGAAGTATTTGAACTTGTATCGTTTTGATTAGAAGCTTATGCATCCTTTGAGTTAATTAAACAAAAAGGCAGTTGTTAGAAATGTTTTTTAGTAGAGTCATATTTAAAAATTCTTTTTAGAATGGTTTCATTGATTAAAAAAAGTTAATGCGAACTATTTGTCTGTCATTTGATTGATAACAAAAGTGTACAGCTATAAACAATTTTACATGGGTACTTAAACAAAAGGAACAAAAGGAGAAATTTAAAGATCACATAATATTACACACCTCAATTTGTTTATGATTGAACCTTCTTAGCATATACAAATCATATTTGGTTTAAACACGTTGCTTTAAATTTAATTATTTAATCATTAAATTTGATTTTAACGTTAGTTATGACGGGAGTGACTATAACGATAGGCAGTACTCGAAACACTTATATGATACATTTTAATTAAAAATAAATAAAAATTTTGTTGTTACAAAGCACTACTGTTAGAAGAAAACACTTCATTAATTAATCATTATCTTTTATCTAGTAATTTTTATTTTTTTAATAATTTTTAATACAAAGATTATTTTTAAGAAATTTTTAATCACAACGGCACATTTATTTGCTAATTAATTCTTTTCCGTTTGTTTCCTACTCGTTTTTGCATTTTAGGCGGTATTAACATAACTTGCACTTTTTTTATTTAACTGCAAACCATTCAATGTGTTCAAAGTAATCGGAGTTTTTAATTTAAAAAATTGGTAAAGGACATAGACTATGAAAAGCAGTAGTGCTTTTTATACATAATATTATTTTCTTGATAATCATAAAGAGAAGGATAGAAAAGGAACATAGATATATACATAGACTATAAAAAGCATTTGTTTTTTTATTGGAAATATAATTTTACTGACAATTGTAAAAGAGTTGGATAGAAATGAAACGCACGTATATATTCATACTGTGTAAAAATCAACAGAACTTACCATTGAAAAAATATCTATAAAAGATATCGCATTTTATTAGAACTCTCGCAACTTTTAGAACTCTGTATTCAACTGACCTTTTTCTGCGTTTGGTCTTAATTACGACTAAAAAAAACAAGGCCAAAAAGCTGTAAAAACCTACAGCTTACGAAAAATATAAATTTCGAATAGAGATATATTGGATAGAGCACAGTCATAGTTCAATTGCAACCAATTTCAACTACTTTAAAAATGATAAAATAAATTTTGATTAACTGCCTGAAATGATATTGATCTAACATATAAAAATAGACTCCACACCAGTTCTAATAGACTCCACACTTCTACATCTTTTAGAACGATTTGCATATATTTTTAAAAAAAGCATGTTTTTGTTGATCAGTTGTTTATACGAATAATATTTGTCTCTCAGAGCGTTCTGCCGAATCAACTCAATGCCAGTTTGTCTAAGGACTGTATTAAAAAATATTTATTCGATGGTTACATATCGTCTAATTACTTATCATATATAAAGAAAACTTCTGCTTACACCAAAATATGACTAAATTGTACTGCAAATATTTACTGTTGCAGTTTTATATGAATTGAAAACAAAAAGTTGTTGTTTTCATTGTCACTATTTTACTCAGATACCGAACCACTTACTCGATATTGTAAATAACATTATTTTTACTACTTTAATACAATTGATTAAATTTAGCGACGGAAAATAATAAATTCAACCTTATCTAAATTGTCTTAATGTTGGCTGCAAGAATGAACATCATAAATTCCAAACTTTATTTTACGGAATTACACTTCTATAGTCGGTGTGAAATTACAATTACATTGTTGTTACTGTAGCTCAATTATGTCTGGGAAAGCAATTATGGTATGTAAAAGTTTGGGAAAATAAACACAAATTATAATTTTTTGGATCATATTTATGTCACAAAAAAATCTTTTAATAGTTTTTTCGAAAATAATTAAATTATCATTCTTATCATAAAGCTCAAAAGAGGTGATAATAACATAAACCAAACACTGACGATTATCATATAAGTTATAAGTTATGAACTTCCCATTAGCTTTGTGGTACAAACTGTGGTCATCGCTTATATATTATGAATATAGTAATCGGATTTCTCTTAAAAGATCAAATGACCCTGTTCGACGCACTTCTAATTTTACTAAATTTATATCAATATAACTCCATGCTAGCTCGAATCAGAATATTCTATTACAATCCATCGTTACCACCCATGAGTGCTGAACTATTTTAATTAATCATCTCAGTGAATGACCATGTTTTTACATATTACCTCTTTATGTCTTTTTAATTTTTAATTATCTTTACAAAACCTATAAATTAACTTAAAATACTTTTATTATTCAGAAAAATTTCAATAAAATTCCGGTCCTTGATTCTGGATAAATGGTCAATAAAAGTAAAAACGTATAATTTAAAGAAAATTTTGTTATCATTAATTAACATTTAGTTAAAAAATAAGCAGTGCCGTAAGGACAATTATATTGAAGAAATTTTCATATATTTCCACATATAGTTAGCTATATGTCAAATATAATTAACTTTCTGCGATATTAGAATTTAAGAATTTTAAGTTGAAGTATTGCACACAATAGTAGAAAATAAATAATGAATGTAGTTTTGTTGTGACTGTACTCAATATCAAGAGTAAACAATTTGAAGCCCCGACATCTTAAAACCTAAGTTATATTGACATGAGTTCGTTTGTAGTTGTTTTACGTGGTTATCTGCCGTAAGGACTCAAAACTGTGGTCGAAATCCAATTAAATTTATGTCTTTGAATATAACTTATTGAAGATAGTTTATCTTCGTTTTTGAAGAACAAGGCCCACCTTATTGAAAAAAGTAACCCCACATTAAGCGAAAGCATAAATGCTAATCTCTTCCTGCGTAACTTTAGATGTTTATCGATGCCGCCATTCTCTTATTCTCTTACTGAACCAACCGTGTGTTCAAGACAACCAATGTTGTTAACACCTGAATCTCGTGATACACATTGCACCACTGGCAAGGTGCTGCTATATCTGTATATATAGCGTAGTAATTAAAGTTAATCAAAGTAGTTGATTCTATTAAAATACATTGTACCAAATGGACGTACCCGGGAAATCAGAAACACATCTATATATATTAATTACTATAATAAAAAATTTATTATAAGTTCATTGGATAAAGTTTAAATCATTCGGTGAATCTCGATTCGCAAATTGTGTAAATTCTTGAATTGTAAATTTGGTATTATTTTGCTCTGATGTTTTATATTCTTAATATCATATTCTAAGCAAAAATTCATTGAATTTATAATATAGAGATTTTTTTTTATAAAGTTTATGTTGCTTATATGTCTTAAAGTGTCTAACTTTGACTGTTTTAAAAGGATTCACAACAGAATTCGCAAGAATTTTTATTTTTTATATGTGATACTGTAGCGCATTTGTAAATGTCAGCATGACTAATAAAAAATTAATGTGCAGATTTAATGTTATTATTTTTTACTCTTTTAGGATTACCACGTTTTTTTCATGCACAACCCCTCACCCAATCGATGTTTGGTGTTTGATTTAGATACAACGTTACCTTTTCCAACTTATTTCCATAAATATGTGACCGAAACGTTCCGTTCAGACCTAGCGCTGAGACCAGAACACCACAGGCAAGTATTTTTGTATTTTTTTATTTTTTTATTTATGTTATTTTTACCGTGCTTTTTTGCCTATTTTTATAAAGTCAGATGACATTTTCACACAAAAACTTTATAGAATAACTTGTTGAACTAAGTAATAATTCTTTTTTTTTCGTTTTCTATTTTTTGTTCTGTGTTTTATTTACTTTATATTTTGTTTTGTTTCTCTCATTTGTATGCCTCCCGATTAACCGCCCACCGCATTACACAGGTTTTTTAGAGTAATACCCGCAGATACATATCTTGTTGAATTCAGTTCGGATAGAAGACATATGAGAAGGCCAGATGGTAGTTGGATAAAACCTCCACCATCTTATCCTCCGATACAATCGAACAGTAAGTAAATAACTGAAAGTACATACTTAACATTTATAAAAATGTAATAAAATAAAAATGTTGATTGAAATTTAATTTTAACTTAATCACAGGCAATGCTCACAGCTTGGGTGATTTTATATGCATGAGTCCTGGCAAAGGACCGGGCACTGTTTATAGCCTATCAGAGTTTGTGCATACGTTCTATAAAGCGCCGAATGCAGTGGCTCAACAAAATAATAAATAATATAACCAAATTACAGCCGATAAACTACAACAAACATAATTAACGCGCAATAAAAAAGCTAAAAGGAACGACCACTTCTCAGTTAAAAGCATGCACCTCTCCTACACCTAAGAAAGGCCCGCAATAAAGCAAGAACTCTATTTAACGGCATATACACTCCGCAGCATTACTTACATGACCCACGACCCACGACCAAAGCAAATGGCAAAACTGCAAAATATACAATAAAAATGCTTTAAAAAATTGAAATTTAACAATTTGTAGCAGAAGCAGACATGACTGCAAAAAATCTCACCAAAAGCAATTCATCATTCTAAATTGAAAGGGGAAAAAAATTTAAAAATATATAATAAAATCCTTAAAGTTTTTACGATTTTTTATGGAAGTAATATTTTCTATTTTTCATTATTTTTTTATTACAAAAAGTTTTTCAAAAAATATTCGCTTGAGTCAGAATAGAATACTTGGTAGTTAAGCTTATGAATGAAAGGTCTAAAATTAAAATTGGAAGTAAAATTTTTAGTATGAATAATAAATAATAATATAAGCGTAAAATATTTAATTAAATTGTTAGAAAATTTGCTAAGGTATAAATTAAACGATACAGAAACACCCAACAGAAGGATAGTATAACAATATTTATATCATATAAAGTATTTTTGTATTTAAAAAACAATTTAAGTAAATTGAATATAAATAAAACCTAATATTTTATGAAAATTAATCTCGTTAATATTGTAAGCCAACTGAAAAATTTTGTTCAATTTCCAAATTAATCAAGAAATGTAAACAATTTATAAAAGAAAAACAAACCAAAAACATTTTCTACTTAACATAAATTTAAAATGTTGCACCAAATGTTAATTATTTTTATTTATAAAACTTTTTATAACAAATATATATATATATATAAATATATAATGTAACAATATGAAGTCAAATTAGTTGGCAATAATTTTGCAACAAATATTAAAAATGTTTTTTTAATTTTTTATATTAAAATATATTTAATGTTGTTTTATAATATATAAACAAAATATTATGTTAATATATGTATGAAATCAATAAATCTTATTAACTATCAGCTTCAGCTGCTTTAAGTAATTATTTGGACTCAAACTCTATGATTTTCTCAAGTGGCTGATAAGAAGGCAATTACTCTTTTATAAGAAAATATTAATAATATTGTGAATTTATTGTATAAATTTAATTTTAATAGTTAGTATATTATAAAAGTTAATATGTCTTTTAACATGTTATCGAGTGTAATTATTGTAAAAGATTAAAATTTTACATAATTTCTTCTTATAGAATTTTGTTGATATCCTTGTAAGCAAAAAAAAAAAAATTTTCATTTATTTTGTAATAAGCCCGATTTAATTTAACTTTAATTTTTATTAGCAATTTTTTTATTAACAAATTTCAACAGAAACCAATTTTGCTTTGCTCTATAGTCTTCTAGCAATTTGAATAGTTATTAATTTTATAGTTATCATTATAAAGTAATATACAAATAATAATATGATGCATATATTCTATTTAGATTAGATTACTGTGGCAGTCAATCTTATTAATCATAGACCCGATCCATAAAAGTGACTAGATTCTGCATATTGATTTCAGTTGACTCTCTCTTGCCAATAATTTCCTCTCCTCTAATACAACCAATACCCATCCACATTTTAACACATATATTCCTCATGTCATTCCTTTCATATTTTCTGTTTTACAGATCCGTGCATGTTACAAAAACAACAACAGTATATAGTTAACCAACTCACTCAATGAATCTTCGCGTTCATTATTATCCTTTGCTTAACACAGGATATTTATTGTGTAATCTTTTTATAATATAGATTTTAAAACATAGAAAATGAAAGTACTGGCTATAGTGGTTGCAATTCTATTACTAATAGTAGCAACATAAAAAACATTGAGAAACCGTCTCCCAATGCAAAATTGCTCTGTTTATAATCATTTTTTTTCATTAATCTATATTGATAGATTAATGGGCAAATAAAAAGTTTTGTAATTTGATTATTGTGAGTTCATCTACTCTCTATGACTTCGTCGTTTTTTAAATTCTATTACTACAGTAGCAATATAAAAGTCCTCGAAGACTGTCTCCCAATGCAAAATCGATCTGTTTGGAAGTAATTCTTTTCATTAATTTATATTCGAGAGATTAATAGATAAATAAAAAGTTTTGTTTATCTACCCTCTTTGACGTATTTGTTTTTTAACATCCCTCTCTAATGTGGAATCTTAATCCATTGGCAATTTTTATATCGAAAGAAACTAAAACAACTAAATATTTTGAAACATTGTCAATCTTTAAATAACGAACAAAACGTTTTCTGTCAAAATCAAAACTATAATTTCACCATTTAGTAAAATTGTATTTATATAAACAATTCCACATATAACAATATACAAAACCTCAAACATAATATATCTGTAATTATTTTTAATTATTCCTTTGTAGAATTAGTAGTTCTTTTTTGTGAAATAAATTACAATTCAATTGGATTTAAAATATATTTCAACTGCGAATCATCTATTCCAATGAGTGCTGTAGTCTGCTACTACAATTATTTCATTGAATATGTTAACTATTAGAATTGTTTTAGTTTTTCAATTAGAAATCACTTTTAAGTCTCCTATAATAACCTTCCATCATTTATACGTCTATATATTAGTTAGTAATGAAATATTAAAGGAAAACTGTCATTTATATAATTTAAGGTACTTGTGCCGCGCAAAGACTGAGATTCATAAGCATTTATATGTATGTTCTTTTTATATGTATATTTTAATTATTTAAAATAAATTTCTAAACACCTATAATATGTGTCATCCTTACGTGATTTTGTCTATCAGCGCACCCAGCACTTTTGCGTTAATCACATGTCACGTCGCCAAACATTTAAATTCTATTTAAGTTTCCGAAGGGCTTCAACACAAGTTAACATTGTTTCTACTACTATTTTTTTACAAAATAAAATAAAATTATTAAATAATTATACGTATATATGTATAATAATTGAAAACAAAATAAAAGTTAATAAATAATTTTAATAAAAATATATATTATACATATATGTATGAATTTCAAATTAATATATATATAAATATATATATAAACTGTGCATGTCTCAAAGTTAAACTTTATTATAAAATGTATTAATATAAAAAAAATAAAATTTTAAAATAAATATGTATTTGACAAAATTTAATAATATTTATATACATATGCATATTATATATATTAATATAAATTTACTTCTATAATATAGCATACACTTTATAATTTATCACTTAAAATATCTATAAAAAACAAAAACTATTTCAAAAAGCATTATTGCTTATATCGTAAAAGGTTTAACTAACTGGAAGCAAATATTTGCAACATAAAGTTTAATATAATTTAAATAAATTTATATAATATATATATAAATATATATATATATATATCTTTATATATGATTGTAAGCCTTATTAATATATGTGTAATAAACTAATTTATAATTCATATTGTTGTAGTAAAATTTTAGTAAAAAACATTAAAAATATTCTCTACTGTAATTTTTTTATTGTATTATTAAAAATTATTCAATCCAAGTTTTTAAACTAAAAAATTTTATTGCTAAAAATTATTTGTTTCAAGATTCCAATCTATATTTTATTGTTAAAAATTATTTATTTTAACATTTCAATTTAAAATATTCTATTGTTAAAAATAATTTCATTTAATTTTATAAAAAATTACATATTTATAAAAATTATATATGTATAAAAATTTATTATCCAATTCTAAAATTTCTTAAAAAATCTTTTTGGACCACATTATGGTTAACTTTTTAAATATTCAGAATTTTGTATTGCAAATATTTGGAGCATTTAGTGTTTAACATTAGAGCAATGAATTTTTTATAATACCCAAAGTTGAATCAATAAATCGTAGTTAAGATTTTTTTTATTTATTAATTTTTTTTTAAATAATGAACTACATTGCAATATTAAAATATTAAAATTGTTCAATGATTTTTAATTTGTTTTTTTATAAAAAACACTCCTTTGGAATATACTGCTTGTACAAATTTGTTGTATATATTTATTAGATATAACATAAATAAATCTTTATTAATACATATATGTGAGTTTAATATATTTAAAAAAAATTTATTACTTATTTATTTCTAGATGTTTTTATCAATATAATTCAACTTTTTTTTTTTAATTTGTATTATGATTCATAATTTTTGTTTCATAAATATTGGTATTTATTGACTTCTGACTTTTATGTATTTTTTTTTATTTGTATAAAAATACTTATTATCTTTATAGTTGCCCTTATTTATAATAAGTTGTTTTAATAAATAATTTATACGCCCTTTATTTGACTTTTATTACATAAAACTTTTTAAATTTATATAAAGAAATACATAAATGTTTTTTACTATAAAAGCCTTTGTTGAGCTATTATAGATTAATAAGTTAATTTAATAACTAACAGAAATTTTTTGAATGTTTAAAAAAGTATCATAAAATAAAAATTAAATCAAAATACAAAAATCTAAACAATGACAAAACTAAATAGTTTAATAAATAAATTTTATTTTATAATTTAAAATATTATTTAAGCAATATTAATAAAATGTTAATATTATTTAATTGTTCTTAGATGCTTTATATTTATGTAATATAATTACAATATGATTGAAACGTGAAGCTTATACTTTTATATAATTATTATATAAAAATATTTTATGTTTACATGATTAAAATAATGTTTTATTAACACTTATTTATAAATTTTGTTTTTATAATTATATATATTTTTTGCGGTTCCCTATTTTTACTAATAATCAATTATATAAATATTGTAAATGAATATTTAAATTTAAAAAAAAAATTTATTCTTCTCTTGTTGTTGTTAATATTTGTTAATATTATTGTTAATATTAAAAAAATGAAAGAAAATCAATCAATCTTTTATATGAATACTGTATTTTCATAATTTTCATTTACCTAAATTAATTTAATTTTAAGTAATTTAATTAATTAGAATCAATTATGCCTTTATTATAAAAATGTTAATAAATTTTTTTATTTATAATAAATTAATTATTATGTATTTATATAAAAAATATATTTAATTTAATTGTTGGACTTAATTTTTATATATAAAATGAAATATTTATAAATTTTGCAGAATTCTAGGAATACTATTTAACACTCATGTGAATGTAATAGTAGGAATTAACCTAAGCTATGAAATAATTGTTTGCTTTCCAAAAACTATATATACATAATATTAATTTAAATGTTTAATTTATTTAAATCGAAATTTTTGTTCTAAGAATTTATCAAT